AATAAACACTGGTCTGAGACGGTAGTTTCAGAGGATGGCGTTGAATTAGATACTATATACCAGTATTTACGAAGAGCAGTTTAGAAGCTGAAATATTGTTTATGTATAATAAATAACTGTTTAAGAGAGTGATGGCTTGTGGGAAGAAGCTCCTCTGTAGCCTGGATGTCCTGATCCTCATCTGGCTGAAGCGCCGGCCTGAGGGAAGGAGCTGGAGCAGGTGGTGTCCGGGGTGTGACGAGTCAGTGGAGATCTTCTCTGCACGCTTCCTGGTTCTGGAGGCATGCAGTTCCAGTAGTGTGGGCAGCTTAACTCCAATAGTCCTCTCTGCAGACCTGATGATGTGCTGCAGTCTGTGTCATGCTTGGTGGCTGAGCTGCCCCACACTGTTATGGACATGGTGACTCATTTAAAATGGATCGAGTGGAAGTGGAAAAGTGTCCTGTGGTCCGACGAATCAACATTTGAAATTCTTTTTGGAAATCATGGACACTGTGTCCTCCGGGCTAAAGACCACTCAGCTTGTTATCAGTGCACAGTTCAAAAGCCAGTATTCATGATGGTAAAGGGGGGCATTAGTGCACATGGCATGGGTGACGTGAAGGCACCATTAATGCTGAACAATAGATACAGGTTTCAGCAACATATGCTGCCATCCAGACGACGTCTTTTTCAGAAAAGGCCTTGATTATTTCAGCAAGACAATGTCAAACCACATTCTGCATGTATTACAGCAGCATTGCTCCATATTAAAAGAGTTTGGGTGCTAAATTGACCTGTCTGCAGTCCAGACCTGTCACCGCTGATAACATTTTGCACTTTATGAAACAAGAAATATGACAAAGGAGACCCTGAACTGTTGAGCAGCAGATCTGTTACGTCAGCTAACAGACGCCTGCGCTGACTAGCATCGCGTTGGGTGATGGGAGGGAGAAGGAGGGGCCTTACCACAGAGTGTGCCTTTACAAACTGGTTTGACGAGGCAGGACGGGCTGGATTTAGCAAATTAGCAAGCTAACTTCCGCAGATATATCTGCAACATACACAGATGTCTTTTGACATAATATCAAAACTCTTACTTCTTCACATTCTGTTGATCATTTTTGTTAATTCTGGAATGTTTTAAGCTAAAAATCGAACAAATTCCACCTTTAAAGTCTCCCAGAATGTTGAGCTGTGAGTCCCGATTCGCTCTTTCTGCTCTCGTTATCTGGTCGATCAGCTGTTTCTGCATGTCGCTCAGGCGCGGAATGTAAACAGCCATGTGGCACCTGCATTCCTTTACCCAGAAGCAGATCCATCCTCTGGTTTTAACCATTTTGCTTCGTCTCTCTGTCTCCGTTGTGCAGCTGAATGCTGCGGAGGTGCAGCATGCTGTCCGGGGTCAGCTTAGAAAACCAGGTCTCCGTGAAGAAGAGGGCAGGGGAGGTCAGGAAGTCCTTGTTGGTTTGGTTGAACAGAAGTAGTTCTTCTATTTTGTTGGGTAGAGATCACAGACCAAAGAGGAATAAAAACAGTAAAGGTGTTTGAAACCCACACCGCCTCAGCTTTACGAGCGCACCCACACCTCTGCCTCTCCGCCACCTCCTCGCCAGGTTGGGCAGAGCCAGCGCCCCCACTGTGAGGATTTAAAAACTCTGATGGTTTTAGAAAAAACTCTGGACTGATATCAGGAGAAACGCTGTCCATGAAGGTCAGTAACCGCTCCTGCTCCAACCATCTGAGTTTGACTTATACCATCTTGGATGGTATTGGATACCATAACATGATAACATATTATTTAATGTTATGTTTTACAAAATATATTATGAAATATAATATTATGTATTATGTTTGTATGAAAATATATAATGTATAAGTAATGATAAGGTATGTGCAGTTAACTACAAACAAATTTCATTGTGTGTGTGTGTGTGTGTGTGTGTGTATATATATATACATGTCTGGAAAAACACTACTAAAACTAATACCAATTAATTCTCTCATAGTGTAATGATTACTTTACTCTCTAATCTCATTACTTTACTGCTACTGTACTGTGTACCAGATTATCTGACTAGATCATTTTGCTTATTCCAAGCATTATTTCTTAAAACGAGCAAATTTATCTTTAGTGAGTTTCACCTGATAAAATTACTTCAGTAAGAAATGTCGAGGAATAAGTTTACAGTATTCTTAAAACAATGTCAACATGACAACTACATTGACTAGATTTAAGATTTCACTCACCTGCACATTTAAAGATGGTTCTTCAAAGGTTCTTTTGCACAGGGAGTGTGCTTAGAACTAGGAGTTCTACATGGAACCATTTCATGTTTAAAGCACCAAAAACTGTTTTTCTGTTGTTACAAGTTTGACCACATACAACACATTCTCCATCAATCTGAAGAACCATTTCACCGTGCAAAGAACCATTTAAGCATGTAAATGGAGTCAGGTGTGATGCCACACCTCCAAAAGTGGTGAACAACAAACAAACAAACAAAAATATGGCTGGCTGAGTGACGAAATGCAATGAGGCCACTGACTAAAATCACCTTTCATGACTCAGATTAAAACAATAGATTTTAAAAGAGAAGAATCATTAAATTAAAAATCAAATAAAAATTATTTAGGATAATTAAAAATCAGATTAAAGCTGAAATGATGATAATAGAGCGGTGTTAGAGGACAGCAGAGCTAACAGTGTTTAAACTGAGCTGAAAGCTGCTCAAACAGGGTCGTTTTCAGGCTGGTTAAAAGTGTCCAGTGTCGGCTCTTCTAATGCTCTCGGTCAACTGGGTCCATTTAAGAGCAGCACAGTATCTAAACGCTGCTTCTCCATGTTTAGTCTCCACCTTCAGCAGGACTGACTGACCAGTTCCTAATGATCTGAGAGTTCTGCTCAGCTCATGTCGCTGCAGCAGGACAGATAAATACGCTGCTCCTGCACCATTAAGACATTTGTAGAGCAGTAACAGCTTCTTAAAGTCTATTCTGGAGCAGACTGGAGGCCAGTGTGAGGATTTAAGAATGGGGAGGGGCTCCTTCTTTTACTCCTGGTCAGACTCTGGCAGCTGCATTCTGAACCAGCTGAAGCTGTTTGAGTGTCTTTTCTGGGGGTCCAGTTAGGAGACCATTACAGTGATCAATCCTGCTGGAAAAAAGGTGTGGATGAGTTTCTCCAGGTCTGCTTTAATCAGAACATCTCTGATCTTGTTGATGTTCTTAAGGTGTTAAAAAGATTTTATCTTGATTCAACTGTAGAAAGTTTTGTTCTATCCAGTTTATGATGAGCTCAAGGCACTTACAGAGTGAGTCAAGGTGACCATAGTTGTTCGGGGAGAGGGCCGAGTAGATCTGAGTATCATCTGCATAGCTGGGGTAAGATATTCCACAGTCCTGTAGCATTTGGCCAAGAGGCAGCATGTATAAATTAAATAAGAGTGGCCCAAGAATTGAACCCTGGGGGACACCACAGGTCACTGGCACTCTCAGAAATATTTAACATTTTTCACAAAGTAGTTCCTTCCATGCAGGTATAAACTGAACCTTTTTAGACAGTTCCTGAGAGCCAAAGCCAGTTCTCAAGTCTATCTATGAGAATTGTTTAGTCAATGGTATCAAAGGCAGCGCTGAGATTGAGTAGTTGTAGAACAGATGTTTTTCCAGAGTTTGTATTTAAGCAAATATCATTAATAACTTAGAGCCATTTCAGTACTATGATTAGGTCGAAAACCTGACTGAAATTTTTCTAGACAGATATTTAAGGACAGGAAGCCAGTAAGTTGCTTAAAGACAATTTTCTTAATATTATTTCCAATGAAAGGTAGATTTGAAATTGGTCTGTAATTACTTAATAGAGCTGCTTCTAGATTTTTCTTTTTTAAGAGAGGCTTCACAACTCCAGTTTTTAATTTGTTAGGAAAAATTGCCCGGCAGGAGTGAAGTGTTTACTATCTGAAGTATGTCCACTGCTATTGAGTGAAACACCTTCTTTAAAAAGTTGGTCAAGACTACAAGTGAAGGATTTGAGATGACTCCCTGTATCATTTAGAATTTCATTATTGAAAGTAATAAAATGGGACATTTTAACCATGATATCTTTATGTGGTGATGGAAAGAACACAGGCTCTTTGGTGGATACAGATGTATTAATGGCTTGCCTGATATAATGGTTTTTTTGCTCATCAAAAGTGTAGCTGTGCTGTCATTTATAAATCTTTTCTTAAAGCAGACGTGTCTGCTCTTGATGTTTAGTGAGGTCCACATTTCAAAGAAAACACAGTAATGATCTGACCAAGTGATGTCTAACCCTCAATTAATAATGTTTCTGCACTAAATTCATGAAGCCGTGTTTCTGTTAAAAGTATAAAATCAAGCCCATGAGCTGTAATCAAATAATTTATTAAATAAGATCTGTTTGTGAGAGATCTAATATTGAGAAGAGCTATTCTAATAACCTGTGCACTTTGCTCCAGAAGCTGTTACTCATATTTTACACAATGCAGATTGAGGTAGCAATGGGGATAAGGTAACAGTAGATTTGAATATATATTGTTTAAGGTGGCAGTAGATTTAACATACCAGTGTATTTAAGGTACCATGGGATTTAAGGTAGTATGAGATTTAAGGTACCACTATTTAAGGCAGCAGTGTATTTAAGGTCCCAGTGAATTTGAAATAACAGTGCATTTGAGATATCAGCAGATTTAAGGTGTCAGTGGATTTCAGGGAACAGTGAATTTAAGGTAGCAATAGATTAAAAATTAACAGGAGATTTAAGGTAGCAGTGCATTTAAAGTTTAAATGTATTTATTGTACCAGTTTAATAGCATAGCAACCACCTTATAACAGCTTTTCAACCGTTGGATACCAAAGCAACCGCCTAGCAACATCTAATTTAGCTAATTTAGCAACCACCAGCTGTCCTCCACTATTTTAACGTTTTAATATAATTAGCAAACTTTTTCAAGCCAACTGCTTCTTCTTCTTCTTCTTCTTCTTCTTCTTCTACAGCCATGTCGGTGAAAGAGTCCAAGCCAAATCTCACCATTTCTCAAGCTACCGACATCACAGGACGACTTTTTGGCCTGACTGCGTCCAGCGTCCGTCCACTGCCCAGTTACGATGACCAGAACTTCCATGTGGTCTCTTCAGAAGGTGGACAGTATGTGCTAAAGGTCATGAACTCTGCAGACAGCCAGAATCCCACTCTGCTGGAGGTCCAAACCCACACCATGAACTTCTTATGGCAGAAAGGACTTCCTGCCCAGACTGCTGTCCCCACGGTAACCGGTCAGCTGATGAGTTTTGAGGAAATCGGTAGGACAGAACTTTAATTTGCTAACTTTAATAATAGTTAAAGGGTATCGAATGCAGAACTTGAACAAGAAAATTGACTAGGAAAATATTAACATAAATTGTGCCTTTAATAATTTATCACATAATTAACAATTAACACTTTATTCATGCATTAACTTTCACAGCACTGTTATCGTCGCTGATTAATAACAGACTCTGAGAGTTTACAGGCTCTGTCAGGTCACAGAGCACAAAGAAGGTAAATAAGTGAAGAATCCAAACTCGCCACAAACCAGGGAGCCGTTCGTCTGGAGAATTGAAGCTTTATTTCTTGTGTGTAGGTACCAGAAACACTTGCCAAGATTAGGCCCAGCCTGCACTGTAACTGCTCCATGAGCTGCAACTAACAATTATTTCTGTAATCGATTCATCAGTTACTGTTCTATTAATTCACTAATCTAACTGTCCTTATATAATCCTTATATTATTGGACTTAAGTGCAGCTTTTGACACAGTATGGCATTCAGTCCTCCTGTCAAGATTGCGTGAACTGGACACTGACAGCTCTGCGCTGGACTGGTTTACATTTTACTTTACTGGTAGAAAGCAGTTCATTACTTTCTCTCTAATGTCCTATTTTACACGAGGTATTGTGGCTTATCTTTTACATTGTATTTGGTGTTGATCAGAAGAGACAGACACAGACTGTGCTCTTCATCTGCTGATCTTTGAGCTCATGACTTTAGCATTTAGCATCGCGCTCCACCAGCTGAGCTGCAGAAACGCTGTGCTTTGAGATGAATGGTGAACGAAGCTGTAGAACGAACGATGTTCAGTGTTTTGTCTGTGTTTTGTGCAGATTGTGGTTTTGGGGTGCAGAAATATCTGGTGCGTTTGCTGACCTTCCTGCCCGGCACCACGATAGCGAAGGTGACCTGCACTCCGCAGCTTTTATACAAAGCTGGAAGAACGGCCGCCACCATGGACACCACTCTGCTGCAGGTAGAAACCACAGATTAAAGCGATAGTTCAGCCGAGACTCAGTGTGCTTCTTTAGCTAAGGCTAGCTAAGACACACTCAGTTAGAGGCGACTCTGGTGATAATGTAGCTCCAATATGATTTATATATTTAATTTAGTGTATGCAGACTGCTGTTTTATATACATGCTACTGTACAATTGCTAACTGTTGGGGTATGAGTTTCCATAGTAAGGCAGAAAAAGCCGCCCTGTGGTATAATGATCACACTCGAGCTTTAAAACAGACCGCCAGACAACTTGACCGAAAATGGCGCCTGACTAAGCTAGAAGTGTTCCAGTCCGCCTGGAAGGAGAGCCTTATAGACTATAGAAGAGCACTTGCTAGAGCACGCTCAGTCTATCTCTCCACTCTCATAGAAAACAATAAGAATAATCCTAGATTACTATTTAGCACAATCTCTAAACTAACAGAGAACAAAACAGTTAGTGAACCCCAGATGCCACCAGCCTATAGCAGCAACGATTTTATGAATTTCTTTAGTGATAAAATTGAAAAAATTAGGCAGAAAATTCAGAATGCACAACTAAACTCTACAAACCTGCTTCCCCATAATGCCAGCCTCAACCTTGAAAATATTACAATCCCTGCAGAGAGGCTGGAATCATTTACCTTACTCCAAGAAAATGAACTAGTTAAAATTGTTTCCTCCGCAAAATCAACTACTTGTATGTTAGATCCGATTCCTACAGATCTCCCTTTTATATCTAAGATCGTGGAAAAAGTTGTAGCAAAACAATTAAGCTCCTATTTGTATAAGAATCATCTACATGAAAAATTTCAATCTGGTTTTAGGCCACATCATAGTACAGAGACAGCACTAGTAAAAATTGTAAATGATCTATTATTATTTTCTGACCAGGGAAATGTGTCCTTGTTAGTCCTTCTCGATCTTAGTGCGGCGTTTGACACAATAGACCACGCTATCTTACTAGACAGACTAGAAAACCTTGTAGGGGTAACAGCTCTTTCCTGGTTCAGGTCCTACCTCACTGATCGCTATCAGTTTGTTAATTTAAACGATGAATGATTTCTCCTTACAAAAGTAAAGTATGGTGTTCCACAAGGCTCTGTTTTAGGACCTATATTATTCACAACATATATGCCACCGTTATCAGTAAACACGGCATAAATTTCCACTGCTATGCCGATGACACTCAGTTATATATATCAAGCAACCACATGATAAAATTCAACTCGGCAAGATTGAAGACTGTATGAAAGACATAAAGGACTGGATGTCGAGTAACTTTCTCCTTCTAAACTTGGAAAAAACAGAAGTTCTGCTTCTTGGTCCAAAAGCAGCTAGAAACAAACTGTCTAATTTAACACCTAAACTTAACAATTTCTCAGTTGCGTCAGGTTCATCTGTAAAAAGCCTTGGTGTCATTATAGACCCTGATCTGTCCTTCGACACACATATAACTAATATTACTAGAACAGCCTTCCTGCATCTCCGCAATATTGCTAAATTGAGAAATGCATTTTCTCTACAGGATGCAGAAAAGTTAGTTCATGCATTTATTACTTCAAGGCTGGACTACTGTAATGCCCTGCTGGCTGGATGTCCCAGCAAAAGCCTTAACAAGCTTCAGCTGGTCCAGAACGCTGCAGCCAGAGTCTCACAAGAACCAGAAAGTTTGACCATATCAGCCCAGTTTTATCAACCCTACACTGGTTACCAGTTAAATTTCGGATTGATTATAAAATCCTCTTACTGACCTATAAAGCACTAAACGGACTCGCCCCTCAGTACCTGAGTGAACTTATCTCTCACTATGAACCATCACGCCTACTTAGATCACAAGGTGCTGCTCACTATTAGTACCTAGAATTAATAAAGTTACATCAGGGGGCGGAGCTTCTCATACAAAGCCCCCCGGCTTTGGAATAATCTTCCAGGCAGTGTTCGGGACTCAGACTCAGCCTCAGTGTTTAAGTCTAGGCTAAAAACTTACTTGTTTAGTGGAGCCTTTGGTAATTAGTTTTCCCTGTTAGATAAAAGGTGCAGATCTGGGGTTCATGGTCATGGAGTATTATGGTAAACTGGGAGTGCTGGTGCTGTCGTCCTGCTGCTCACGCGCTCACTCAGGTTTGCTGATGGTGGAGTGGAGGAGAGGACGCAGCAAACCTCACCTGCATGAACTGACCCTCCTGATGCTGCTGCTGCTGAATAAACTAAAACTAATCTAATTAACCATTGCTCCACCTGTTTTCCCCATTTTGTACTATAATACTTTATACTAACGCTGTTTTCTATCTGGTGTCGACCAGAGGAGGATGGGTTCCTATGGCATGCGCCCGCCCCCTGGGCCCCGACGATGACGGCCGCGAGAGCCGTCAGGAAGGCGGGGCCCGAACACCCAGCGGCGACGAACCTCGGCCGCGACGGCAGGGAGAGGGACACGCAGCAGCCATATTTCTTTTATTCACACCACACAAAATAAACACACTCTAAAACCTAACCAAAGGTACGCTGGCCACTTTTCAGTGGCTTCCTTCAGTCTTTTTACTCAATCCTTCTTCTAAGCTTTTCAGCTCTTCCTCCGTCTTTAGTTGCTGCTGAGTGTCCCTCTCCCTGCCGTCGTGGCCGAGGTTCGTCGCCGCTGGGTGTTCAGGCCCCGCCTTCCTGCCGGCTCTCGCGGCCATCATCACCGGGGCCCAGGGGGCGGGCGCATGCCACAGTTCCCCTTCTGAGTCATGGTTCCTCTCAGTGTTTCTTCCTCCTGCTCTTAGCAAGTTTTTCCTTGCCACTGTCGTCATTGGCGACACTCATGGGGGCTCAGACCAGGATTTTTTTGTAAAGCTGCTTTGTGACAACACCTGTTGTAAAAAGCGCTAAATAAATAAACTTTGCTTGCTTGCTTTGCATTATTTGGTAGCTAAATTAGCCTTGTAGCTCCAATTCTACAAAATGTCTGCATAATACAGTGTGAGGTGTAATCAGAGTGATTCAGAGTGGTTTGGTGTGAAATGGTTCAGATGTCTTTACAGTGGTGGTGATAGGAATCAGGGGTTGCCATGACTACAACACAAATATAGACATTTTATTTACTATCCAGAACCACCAGTGAACCTACACGAGTCTTCTGAGTTTATATGGAATGTTGATGATGGAAAATAGTGGAAAATCTGAAATAATAAGTTTCCTTTGGGGACTATTTTACAATTTAGGCCAAAACTCTTCTCAAAACTGTGCTCCTGTCGGTGCTGTTACATCCAGTTTATGAAACCTGGTGAATGTGTGAGGCAAGGACCAACTCAACACTGTGCACACATTCTGAATCATTCCTTTGAAGACTGTCCATGAGGTGGCTGCTCCTCTTGTCGAACACATCTGTACGCCAGCTGGAACTGTCAAATCTTTGCTGGAATATGCCAAAGCAGTCGCCTTTGTAATACAGTGCGAGCATTGTTTACTGATCACTTTTCACGTGTACAGGTTGACCCAGCACAGAAATAGCTGATCAGTTTTTCTCTACATGTAAACATGCAGTGACCGCATGAAGCATAAGGCATTCAGCTGCCGCTGGCCTAACAATGCAAAAGGTGGAGGGTAAAAGGCCTGGAGCTCCATAGGGAGACAAGACTGGATAACTTTCGGAATAAATGCAGGATTTGGTCATAGATACATGTTCAAGTTCTTCCAGAGTGGATCTTACTAAAGCTTTGCTGATGCTAAGGCTACTAACAGTGCTGTCTTGACTGAAACTGTTTTAAGATCCACCTGATCCATTTCTCATGCCTGGAAAGTGGTAAAAATGGACACGTCACTGTCCGGCTGGGGGGGCACTCACGAGGGCAGAATTATAAATGGCAAATGGAATTGCCATTTGCGATCCCTTCACAGAAATTGCCTGGAAATGCAAGCAGTTTACCCAATGCTGAGACATTTCCTCCCCTTTCTGAAGGGTCACCATGTCCTCGTAAGGATGAACAACACTATGGTAGCACCGTATATAGATAGAGAGACAGATAGATAGATAAATAGATATCTACGGTGCTACCATAGTGTTGTCCATCTCTATGAGGACATGGTGACCCTTCAGAAAGGGGAGGGGACGTCTGGTTCCTATCACCACCACTGTGAACAATTCTGACTCAGTAAGTTTCTCTAAAATGGAGCATTTGTCTGTTTACATCTTAACCACTTAATTATGCAAAAGATTTTTTAAAAATGAGATTCTTTGCATGTTTTTTACTGTTTCTTGGTTTGTTGTTTTGTTGTTTTTGTTATTTGTTATGTGATCTTCATGCAGATGGAGCATCCACACCTGAGTGTTCTTCAGAGGGAGAACTTCATCTGGAGTTTAGCGAGTGTTCCTCTGTTGGAACAGTTCCTGTCTGTGCTGGATGGAGATCCGATGCAGGAGGTGGTGAAGAAAGTTATTGAACAGTTCAAAATCCATGTGGTGCCAAAGCTGAACTCCTTCCGCAAATGTAAGATTAAATGTAACGATTAATACACTCACTGCAAATGTAGCCGATCGTTATGGATGAAATTCAGGTTTGAAGATTTCTGCTACAGTGTTTATCTGTGCTAATGTACTTTAGTCCATGTTTATAGAGAACAGTGAGTCATGCAGTGTCTGAAACCACATAATGAAGACTATTAGAGATACTGAACAGCTCCACATGATTAGAAGACATCTTGCTTCCACTTTGCCAGCTTGTTATTTGAATTTTCAGGTGCCAGAATGTAACTGCTGTATCATTTAAACTGCAATGGAAAATTTGAATAACAAGCTGGAAATTATGAAGCCAACTTTATTAGCAGGGTTGAGGAAAGGCATGCAGTTAGCACTGCGCTAATTGGTGGGGTGTGAGCTTCTGTTGTTAGCTACATTAGCCTTGTAGCTCAGATTCAGACACCAAACACATCTTGGCTGATCGACTACATTTGCACTAATTATATTTTCACTGAACTATCGCTTTAACGAGTCTCTCCCTCGTCCTGCAGGTATTAACCACGGAGATTTCAACAATCACAATGTTCTGGTTGAAGCTGATGGTCCGTCCAGCTACAGGATCAGTGGCATTCTGGACTTTGGAGATATGAGCAATGGGTATTTTGTGTTCGAGCTGGCCATCACCATCAATTACATGATGATCGAGAGGCCCAGGCCGTTAGCGGTGGGGGCAGCGGTGTTGGCGGGCTGGGAGAGCGTAATCCCCCTGAACCCAGAGGAGAGAGATGTGCTGTACCTGCTGGTTCTGAGCCGCTTCTGTCAGTCTCTGGTTCTGGCTCGCTACACTGTTCTCCAGCAGCCTGAAAACGAGGAGTACCTGATGATCATGGCGAGGCCTGGCGCCCGGTTGCTGCAGCTGCTCTGGGAGACGGGCAGAGACGAGGTGGAGAAGATCTGGTTCAACGGCGCCGCAGAGTTCTTACAGAACAGCCATATAACAGACACAGAGGGATAATAACTAAAAGAACCGGAGGAGACTTTTAATCTGAGTTCAGGATTAATGTTGACCAAGTCTTCACACTATTCAGTGTTAAAATGTCTTAAAGGGCCAAAATCATGGAAAAAAAGGCCTACAGTTCTTTAGCTCCACCCATTCTGCCTCTAGGCTTTACCCCTGCCCCTTCAGCCTACAGCAAGTTTAGCCCAACCTATTCAGCCTATAGCAATTCAGCCACGCCCATTCAAAGCCAAAATCAAAGTCAAGTTTATTTATGTAGTGCTTTTTACAGCAGATGTTGTCACAAAGCAGCTTTGCGGAAAATCCAGGTCTGAGCCCAGTATGAAGAAACACTGAGATGAACCAAGACTCAAAAGAAGAACCAAGGCTCAAAAGGGGAACCCATCCTCCTTTGGTCCACACCAGATAGCAAAACAATAACACAAAAGCAACATAAAGAAAGAATGAAAGTGAAAATAAAAGCTATCAAACGAAGACTGATGAACTCATTCATCGAGTTCTTAGAGCAAAGAAAAACAAGCAAAGAAGGAGTTTCCCAACACAAAGGAACAGGGCAGGAAAAGGTAGACAAAGGAAGAAGCTATATCTGGTGTGGAAAATGACAGAGAAAGGTCACAGCACTAGCTGTGAACTCCTATGTAATATTTCTTTTTTTATTTGAAAACTAGATAAAAGCGCTTGAGACAAGCACAGGAGCAAGAACCAGAGAAACCCAGAGGGGGATACTTAAGGGTTTAGGCCTGGAGGAGTCAAGAGGAGGGTAGAGGAGAGGCAGACCCAAGAGAAAACTTGAGAGGCTTACCAAATTATTGGCTAGCCTAACCTAGCACTCTGAAAAGAGAACCAAAGACTGAGCACGTAGGTGAGGTGAGCTTCCATTAAGTAGGGGAGGAACATGTGCTGCTGATTATCCCTTATCAAAATAGAATGGCCCTGTACCTCCTTCTGGTCGCCAAGGATGGCCTGGCAGGTGGCTCAGCCCCAGTCTGGGCTCTTACAGGACCCTTTCTTAGGAATGCCACCCAACATTCCCAACCTTGCAGCAGAGTCACGCCTGAAGGCCTTGACAAGCTTGGGGTCCAAGATGTTGCGAGCGGGGGGCCACAAGCATTCCTTTAGGACATACCCTTTTCCAGTCCACAAGGTACTGGGTGCTGCCCTGGACACACAAAGAGTCCAAGTGGATTAATACACACAGAGTGCGGGAGAAGCAGATGGTGCAAGACTGGGTTAATCTCCTGACAATCTTGACCACTGCCCCTGTCGGAAAGTGGGCCTAAGTCTCTGTCTCTGATCTGCAGCTCACTTCTGGACTGCGGAGGCAGCTCAGAGAGCAGCTCGGGCCTTCTGCCATGTCTGGCGGCAGTCTCAAACTAAATGTTCAGCCACCAGGACCCCCATCCCCATGGCCTCCTGCTCTGGGAACGTGGGGGGAGCATACCAAAACTGGCAATTGAAAGGAGACATTCCCAGGGATGAGTGCCATAAAATGTTGTGGGTATACTCTGCCCAAAGAAGGTGATCAGCCCAGGATCAGGGTTTAGAAGAGGCCAGACACTGGAGGGTTCACACCAGGTCCTGTTTGACCAGTCCGGCTGTTTGACTGGGAGTCAAAACCCGAAGATAAATTGACAGAAGCTCCTAGTAGCTGGCAAAAGGCCTTTCAAAACTGATTGGCAAACAGGGGCCCCAATCAGAGACCAGATCCATAGGCAGCCCGTGGACCCTGACCGCATACTGGAGCAGCAATCTGGCAGTCTCCTTGGCCGATGGGAGCTTGGGTGCTGCAATAAATTTGCAGGCCTTGGAGAACCAGGCCACAAAGATCACTGTGAGATGGTTCTCTAAGAGCAGCTAGAGGACCCTTCTGATGTGAGCTACATGTGTGTCCAAGGAATGGATATAGATGAGGCTGTCATCAAGATAGACTAACGTAGCGACCTAGGGCTTCTCTCAAAACCTCGTTAATGTAAAATTGGAAGATGGATGGGGCATTCATCAGTCCAAAGGGCATGACCAAGTATTCATAATGCCCTGATGCAGTGATAAAAGCTTCCACTCATCACCCTGCCTGACCTGGATGAAGCTCTTAAAAACTGAGACTTGCTGCAGCACCTTGAAGGATGAGGTCATGAGAGGCAGGGGATACTTGTCCTTGACCATGATCTTGTTGAGACCCCAGTAGGCAATGTAGGAACAAAGACCCTATCCTTCTTCCCCACAAAGAAGAAAGTTGCCCCTGCTGGAGAGTTGGAGGGCCGTCTAAAGCCTGGATGTAGTCCTCTGTAGCCTTCCGCTCCAGGCCTGACAGGAAGAATTGTCTGCCCCAGGGAGGACTAGTACCTGGCAGGAGGTCAATGGTACAGTCATATGGCTGATGGATGGGCAAGAGCTGGGCCTTCTGTTTACTAAAGATCTCCCAGAGGTCAAAGTACTCAAGAAGGACACGAGACAGGCCTTGGTTCCCTAAGGTGGAGGAAGGCAATGAGGGAGGCCCAGCGTGGATGGCAGGGGCCCCCTAAACAGGAACGCTGGCAATTGGTTCCCCAGACTGCCACAGATTGGGTCTCAGTTCTGCTCCTGGAGTTCCACTGTTCTGCACGTTTTAGACTTTCTCCAGCTCCCAACACACCTGAACCAACTGATTAACTAACTCTGCTTTGGTTCTTCTGTTATTATTATTATAAGAGCTCTGTTTTCTAACTCCTAAACACTTTTAACACTTTTTGGCTGTTCAGATTTGGAAAGTTGAAGAGAAATAAGAGCAATGTTTTAAGAAAGAAATGATAAAACAAAATGAGCAGTATTTGACGCGACTGGGCAAGTTTACAAAAAAGCTGTAGGTTTGAATAATTTTTGCTTTTTATTGTTTTTTAAAGGTGATTTTCTATGTAATACAGGGCCCTCCTTTTAATAAATAAAGCTTTTACTAGGAAAGTGTGGTTGTGTTCAGAACTGTTAGAACAGGGTGGCCGGGTTTGACCCAGTGATTTTATTGGGGTGGCACACAGCTAAAATAACAAATAGGATCAGATAGCATTAAAATGGCAAAGTGCTGAGTTGTTTTTCTCTGTACGTAACTAAATCTGTCCATTGTTTCCACATGAATATTATGACAATACAGTTATTGCCAAAAGTAAACAGACAGACAAAACTGTGTTGATGTAACATATTTTAGTCACTGATGAGTAAATTATGTGTTTGAATTGAGTAAATTAATTTTCAGCACACAATGTAAAACATTTTTTACAGACAGATTATAGAGGTTATTAATTTCAGCTGCTCTCTCTGCAGGTTACACAGTCTAATGGTTAAAAAGCTCAGAGATGTGTAAGGGAACCTACACACGCGCACACACGCGCGTATAAAAGGTAATTATTATCATGATAAACAATTATAGCTGATCAATCTTTACCATCACATAGCCCACTTCATAGTGTAGCTCACAGAGCAGCACTGTTGACATAGTGCACATTAACTCACCTGCTTGCTGAGTAAATTAACCAAAGAGGATCTATTAAGTTCATTTTCAGTGTTCATAATTGTATTTTTGGGCTCTATTAGAATAGACTTAGATGCTTCAATGTTTCAAAAACACTTTTTTTTCCTCATACTGTTCATCTTTATTCAGCCTCTGTCTGAAACGCTCTGTTCGAGCTCCTGTGTCTTTAAGCCCCGCCTCCCGATGAGCCCAGCATGCTCTGATTGGTCAGCTCGCCCTCTCTGTTCTGATCGGTCACCCTCCAGAGCGGTTCCGCCCCTCCATTATGGCTGTTTCTCTGAGGCAACGGTGCTACCCACTGTGCCACCGGGAAAAACCGGTGAAGCAATGGCTCTGAGCAGCATCAGGAGGGTCAGTTCATGCAGGTGAGGTTTGCTCAGCGTTGTACAGCAGGAAACTCTATGGTGGTCAAACCGGTCAGAAGGCTGAAACGGTCCAGAAGGCTGGTGAGCAGTGGCACCTGATCAAGGCAGATGAAGCAACAGCATCAGACCCACAAGATGGGCAGCTGTTCAACTCGGCAAAGAAAAAGACGCACACAGAGAGTCAGTTCTGTAAAGAGTGACTGATCACAGATTACAGTATAGTCATAAGATCTGTCATGAGGCTCCCTGAGATGTCGGGGCCCCTCCGCTCCACCGTCAGTAAACCTGAGTGAGCGCGTGAGCAGCAGGACGACAGCACCAACACTCCCAGTTTACCATAATACTCCATGACCATGAACCCCCAGATCTGCACCTCTTATCTAACAGGGAAAACTAATCACCAAAGGCTCCACTAAACAAGTGGGGTTTTAGTCTAGACTTAAACACTGAGGCTGAGTCTGAGTCCCGAACACTGACTGGAAGATTATTCCAAAGCCGGGGGGCTTTGTATGAGAAGCTCTGCCCCCTGATGTAGCTTTATTAATTCTAGGTACTAATAGTGAGCAGCACCTTGTGATCTAAGTAGGCGTGATGGTTCATAGTGAGAGAGAAGTTCACTCAGGTACTGAGGGGCGAGTCCGTTTAGAGCTTTATAGGTCAATAAAAAAATTTGTGATTAATGCAGAATTTAACTGGTAACCAGTGTAAGGTTGATAAAACTGGGCTGATTTGGTCGAACTTTCTGGTTCTTGTGAGACTCTGGCTGCAGCGTTCTGGACCAGCTGAAGCTTGTTAAGGCTTTTGCTGGGACATCCAGTCAGCAGGGCATTACAGTAATCTAGCCTTGAAGTAATAAATGCATGAACTAACTTTTCTGCATCCTGTAGAGAGAATGCATTTCTTGATTTAGCAATATTGCGGAGATGCAGGAAGGCTGTTCTAGTAATATTAGTTATATGTGCATCAAAGGACAGATCAGGGTCTATAATGACACCAGGATCTATAGTGACACTATAATGACAAGGCTTTTTACAGATGAATCTGACGCAACTGAGAAATCGTTAAGTTTAAGTGTTAAATTAGACAGTTTGTTTCTAGCTGCTTTAGGGCTAAGAAGCAGGACCTCTGTTTTATCTGAGTTTAGAAGGAGAAAGTTACTCGACATCCAGTCTTTTATGTCTTTTATACAGTCCTCAATCTTGCTAAGTTGAAGTTTCTCATCTGGTTTGGCTGATATATATAACTGTGTGTCGTCGGCGTAGCAGTGAAAATTTATGCCGTGTTTACTGATAATAGTACCCAACAGGAGCATATATAATGTGAATAATAGAGGTTCTAAAACAGAGCCTTGTGGAACACCATACTTTACTTCAGTCAGGTAAAATCTGAACCAGGAAAGAGCTGTTCCTGTTACTCCTACAAGGTTTTCTAGTCTATCTAGTAACATACAGTGGTCTACAGTGACAAATGCTGCACTAAGATCAAGCAGAACCAGCTAAGATACATTTCTTTGGTCAGAGAATAATATGAGATTGTTTACAATTTTCACTAGTGCTGTCTCTGTACTACGATGTGGCCTAAATCCAGACTGAAATTTTTCATGTATATGATTCCCATGCAAATAGGAACTTAGTTGTGCCACAGCTTTTTCCAAAATGTTTGATATAAAAGGAAGATTTGAGACGGGTCTATAATTTGCTCACTTTCAGGAATCAAGTTTTCTTAATCAGAGTCTAATTACCGCTAGTTTTTGGAATATAGCCAAGGCCAAGAGAGGAGTTTATTATTGACAGAAGAGGTTTAGATATTTCTGGAAGTATTTCTTTAAGTAAGGTTGTAGGAATTGGATCTAATATGCAAGTAGAAGAAATACTTTTAATTACCTCAGTTTGTTGAAGTAAGGTAAACGATTCCAGCCTCTCTGCAGTAGTTACACTGTACTCAACATCTGGATTAGCTTCGTAGGGCAGCAGGTTTGCAGAGGTTGGCTGTGCGTTTTAATTTTTTGCCTGATTGTTTTAATTTTATTTGGTTCTTAGTTAATTTAGAAATTGTGGTAAATAATAATCTAGGGTTATTCTTACTATTTTCAGTCAGAGAGGAGATCTCCACCAGCTCCCATAAAGACCCGCATACATTCTGGAGCTCATTGTTCGGAGGCATTTTCAGACCAGCTTTGATCAGGAATTTCAGAATGTCAGAACAGCTCTGTGGCGCGATCTGACCATCTGTAGGGTCAATCATTTCTCACTCATAGCTTGATATGTCATCGTTTATTTTAAAAACCTTCTTCTGTCACCCTTTTCACATTTCGGCTTTAATGATATTTTAACTTTCCCACCTCATCCGAGCGACCAGCCTACAGCCTTGTGCAGTTTAAAGTTCAAACCAGGTGATCACAGGTTACTGTACTCAGTACATCTGGAGGGGTTTATATAGTAATAATTTACTTTGTGGTAAAAGTGTTATTTATTGTTTTGCTCATTTTACCTCCTGTGTTTATGTTTCACAAAGAACCTGAACAGAAATCTGCAGAGCGACTGTGAGACTCAAACTTATGCTTGTACAGATGTGCGACGATGCTGCTCTTCACAGAGGTGCGTTTTACATCTGCAGATTTCACTCGCTGAGGTATAAACAGTGGTTCAGGGTGGTTTGGGGTGAAATGCTCTGTTCTAGAGAAACTTATTGACTCAGATCTTTAAAGTGGTGTTATTGATTTTGAGACAGTGGTGACAAAAACTGGTTAACATGAAATCATATTTACTCTGGTTTGTTATTCAGTAAATAACAATGTATTTTTCTGCGACGTTTTCAGATCACTATCAGTGTGAGCTGCACCGATAAGGACCACATTAAACAGAGTTTAGAGCTAATGAAAGATTTGGGTTTTATTTTAAAATGTGTTGTGTTGGACCATTTCATTTAAAACATGGATAAACAAATCCTCTACAAATCCACCTTAATCTGTGATTAAAACCTTTTGATTGTCCAGCATGATGGACTGGGCAGGATAAATAAACAGCAACAACATTCTACTTCACACTAATCACTGTCAGTGAGTTACTTTGTTTATTTTTTAGTGAAAACTAGCACAGTGCTTCATCAGGAACAGCTCCACAGATAAAGAGTGAATTCAGACGTTTAAACAGGCTGTTATTAGACTTTATTATCTAGCTTATCGAGACCTGACTGCGCTTATAACACACACAAAGCCTGTTGGTAGTTTGAATCAAATTATTAAAAAAAAAAAAACTGTCTGTTAGTCTGTACACTGCAGTTTTACAGTAAAAGCTTGATGATGAATTAAATCTAAACACAGAGTATTAGACTAGACTGTTAGCCTGTTAGCTAGCCAAGCTATCTGCTCAGCTGCTCATCTCAGATTACCTAGTTTAACAAAGCCACATTCTTATCTGGAGGATATTCAGCCGTTTGTTTCCTTTACATGCAGTTTGAGGCTGTAAAGTGTGTGTTAGTGAGATTCACTACTGTGTTTATTTTCTATTTCAGTGATGCACACAGAAGCTACATGAGTGCTAATAGTGAGAAACTCTAACCATCAGTGAGTGAGTCTTCTTTGTTTCATGTGAGATGTAGTTTTACTCAGAGAGAGGGGGATTTTACAAAAAAGTATACTTAAAGTTTATTTTATTAAGTAAACTAAAGCAAAGTTAAAGCATATCTCCATGTATACTTTGTATAATAAATATACTAATATCAATGTTCTAGTAGTTTACTTGTAAGTGTACCATTTCAATACTTTTGGGACTAAATTTGACCTCGTTTTAGTTTATAAAAGTATATTTTTAAGTATTCCTTAGGTGTAAGAGTAGCAAACTTTGAGTGCACTACTAGTTTACATTTAAGTTTTATTTTGTACTGCAACTAAACTGTGAACTACACTAAAATGAACTTATTAGTAAACTGTTCTTTTACTAGTTATATACATCTATCCCATGTTTTAGTTTATGAAAGTATACTTTTAAGTATACGCTCAGTAAAATACTGGTTTTTATACAACCCCATTTCCAAAAAAGTTGGGACACTGTGAAGCATATCAAATGTTGTAACTGAGACATTTTATTGGTTTTTGAATTTGATGGGGTTGTACTTGTAGGTTTTCTTTAAATGAACTTAATATGATACTTATAGTTTACGACTTATATAGTATTTTTGCACTTTAAAATAAACTACTAGATTTGTATTTAGGTATTATTTTTTATTCTTGAAATATACCTTAAACAGTACATTGAGTAGACTTAAAGTTAACTAATGTGAACACTACCAGTGGACTACACATATAAAAGTTCACAAGAAAAAACTGAATATATCTGTTCTACTACTGCGCAATCTCAGCGCTGCCTTCGACCATGAAATAGAGAGCTGAGAACTGGTCTCTCAGGACCTGTCCTAAAATGGTTGAGTTCATACCTGTGAGGGAGGAGCTACTTTGTTGAAAAAGAAAATAATGTTTCCGAGAGAGTGCCGTGCTGTGGTGTCCCTCAGGGTTCAATTCTTGGGCTGCTTTTATTTAGTTTACACTTATTTAATTTCTCATTTTACTTTCTGGACTCTTTGGATGTATTTATCTCATTTTTGTTGTCTGTTTTTTTCCTTCTCTATCCTGCACTAACCTGGATTTTCCCAGTTTAATCGGATGCTTGTTCTTTTTACTGGTTGACTTTACTCTTTACTGCTGTTGCAGGAGGACTTCTGACATGTTGCTTTATCGGAGGACTGTTTATTGTTTACTGGCTCTGTCTCCACTGCTGGCCGCTGCTCTCTCTGCTTCTCAATAGGCTGGAGGACTTTACCCTTTACTGCCGCTGTACTCTGGGGACTTTATACCGGTCATCTACCGGCGGAATGTTTACTGTCTGTTTGCCAACTCTCTCCCTGATACTGCTGTGAGCTGCTGTGAGCCCTCAGCCCTGTTCCCACACCTCTGGCTGCAACTGTGGTGAGTGAGTTTTCCCAAACACTCTGTTTATTAAGTGTCTTACTATCTGTCTCTCGTTCTGTTGCCTCTGCTTAGCTGGCTGATGTTGAGTCATGGTGTTTGGCTAACATAGTCCTAGCCTTAGCAGTAGCTCCAGCGGGAGGTTGTACCTGTGTCCCAATTCAGGGGCTGCATCTTTTGAAGGATGCGGTCCACGAAGGCGTGTTCTTCGATGGCTATTACAGAAACTTCCTATCCTTTTGTCTTAAGTTAAGATCTGACAGGTCAAGAATTAGTATAACAGAGGCAAATTTGATCTTAATTAATTTAAAAACTTAATTCGTATTACAGAAACGTCTTCACTCTGAAATCTGATCTGTTTAGTCTATGATGACTGAATTTCGGACAGTATCTATTCCAGAATAACAGTTCCTGACTTCATAATCTCATCATGAACTCCAGATAAGAAAACAGCATCACACAAACATCCTAACTAGACTAAACCTCCTAAATCCTGTCCTAACTTTAGGATGAACCCCAACAGGGTCCTCACTTCTGTTTAAGGTCCGTTTCTATGGTTTTTAGGCAGCTGTGTCAGCAGCATAGTTCACTACCAGCATAATGAGCTCCATTTATTTCTACTGTAAAACGCTGCTTTCACTGTGAGATGATTTACTTTTCTAACTCTGCGTTTTAAAGATCTCAGACGCTGCAGACTCGATCTCCACCGCCCCTCTGATCACCTTCGTGTGTTAATGTTGATGATGAAATATTACAGTGATGGTGGTGAATAATGAGGAGACGGAGCTGAACGTGTGTCTGTTTATTAGGAGGAGTAACGTTAGCGCGCTCGGCTAAAGCGTTTGGGAAATGGAGACTGAAACTGGGGAGCGGCGACGCTCTGATAAACAGCAGGGGGAGCTCTCACAGCATTCACTACTTACAGTTTATCACTCTTTAGTTTAGTTTTGACTTTATTTACATCAGTAACGACCATACAAGGTAATAACACTGAAGGCCAAACTATTCACAAATAATTCAAAATATTATGTTTTTAAAATATTAAGAATACAACCATGTAGAGCAATCAATAGAACCCAAGTGTCTTGCTTGTGATCCATCCTAAGAATTTGGTGATGACCCATCAAATGTATATAAATCTGCAGTCAGAGGAGTTATGGTGTGGCACATGCATGTTCACACTGGCCATAGTGAAACGTTTCAGCACAGAATCCGAACTTTCTGTGAGCTGCTCTGTTTCCTGTCACTGCATAAAAGATGCACAAGCCTTCTTTAATCACTGGATTATTCAGAGTAATTTGGATGAGTAGAAGCACTTGTAACAAATTATTGATGTGTTTAATAAGAGGAACAATATATCATGACTAATATACTGAAATTTAATATGAGAGACAAACTAAATTCTGTGGATCTTTATATGTCAAATAAATGCAGCACCAACATCAGAAATCACTTTATTAAACAAGCGGAGCAGATTAAACAGCATAAATAGCCACGTTTGTGTTTGGGTTTAAAGGGTTAATATTTCCTGAGCTGCTCTGATATGAAGTCGGTGCTGTGAGACTCGGAGCCGCAGCTGCTTTAGACTCTCTCCTGAATATTTACTGTAATTTTCTGCTGTTTTATGTCTGTTGGTATTAAATTCATTATAGTCTTTTGAAATATGAGGCTCATTTTCTGCGACTCTCGATGAAAAATGTTCAAATTTCCATCTAAATCTGTGTCTCTCAGTGTTAGTCTGAGCTTTATGGCTCAGTCTGGACTAAATGTGGTCAGTAAGTGAAGCTGCAGGTCAGTCAGAGAAGAAAGGCTCTTAAACTTTAGCGAACTTCCCTACCCCAGAGCAGTGTTACACTGTAATCTTACAGCACTGCTGCCACCATCAGGTGAGAGGAAGAACTGCAGTGAACTGGCTGGAGGGACACTGATAACACACTCTAAAACAGAGACTATGCGCCAATTAGAATCTGTCTGCAGGCCGCGTTCAGCCCCGGGGCTGGACTTTGGACTTTGGCCCTGTAGTGAACCAGCTTTATATGAAAAATCAGAGATGTTGTGAAAGAAAATGTGGGCCTGGTAAAAACACAACTGGAATGAACTTAGTCATACGAGCCACATTACCTTTTATGATTTTGTAGATAATTTAGTAGCAACAGGTGCAACAAAATAAAGACAAATACAGGTTAGAATGTTTTATTATTTGTGATTTAATCAGCTGTAAGTTGTCAAACTAATTCTAATACATGACAGATAATATGGGACAGTGTTTAAGATCTGCTTGACCACAATGACCTCATTAAGAAAGATTCATGTATAATCCAGATATAGGGACAAGATGGTTCACAGTAATTTGCTGGAGGGGACAAATCTGGTGCTCAGGCTCCGGGAAAAAAGAGAAGTTGTTGTAGTTTTGTTTTTGATATTTTACTCTTGGTACACTAAACGTAATTAAAGCATTACAGTGTTAAACAACAGCAGTTCATGAGGCTTAATTAAGAGTTTGTTTGTATTGCAGAGGAGAGCAGAACAGAACTGATAAATAAAGAAAAACAACTAAAAACAAGGACCTGTTTTTAGGACAACTCCAAACCTGCAAGGTCCCAAAGAAATGCAAGAAAAAATGTGAGACGTTTAACAGCTGGAGAGAGAAAGTTCCCCCAGTTATGGTTTATATCTCAGCTAAACACAGTTACCATTGAAATAGTACATCTAGAATAATATGAGACTGTATTGATTTATTAAATCTAGGTTAAAAATGTCACTAAACGTTTTCCTAAATTACACTGTTTAAAACGATCTAAAGTGCTGCCCCCTGTGTGAAAATATGAACAGTGTACTGCATATATATGTATTTATAAAACCTTCTTAAGAACGTGTGCTGTGTTACGGTTCTGTGAGTAGGATCCTAGTGCAGGTGGGCAGGGTTTGCCGGAAAAAAGGATGGGAAACAAAACAGGTGCCTACAGATTTCTTATGAAATCTGGCCCTTGAAGTTGTAGGACAGTGGTGACAATTCCAGCTTTCGCTCTGTTTGCTTTCTGTTTTAAATCAATGCTGAATGAAATCAGTTAAAACCATCTTCTTCTTCTTCTTCTTCATCTTCCTCTTCAGCCATGTCAGTGAAAGAGTCCAAGCCAAATCTCACCGTTTCCCAGGCTACCGACATCACAGGACGACTTTTTGGCCTGACTGTGTCCAGCGTCCGCCCGCTGCCCAGTTACATTGACCAGAACTTCCATGTGGTCTCTTCAGAAGGTGGACAGTACGTGCTGAAGGTCATGAACTCTGCAGACAGCCAGAATCTCACTCTGCTGGAGGTCCAAACCCACACCATGAACTTCTTATGGCAGAGAGGACTTCCTGCCCAGACTGCTGTCCCCACGGTAACCGGTCAGCTGATGAGTTTGGAGGAAATCGGTAGGACAGAACTTTAATTTGCTTAATCCATGTAGTGAAAATAGTAAATAGTTAAAGGGGAATTTCACTGATTTTTCTAATTTCCTGCATAATTAACTGGTTAAGATGTAGTCAGAGTGGTTCAGAGTCATTCAGAGTGGTTTGGTGTGAAACACTCCGTTCTAGAGAAACTTAGAGTCAGAACTGTTCACAGTGGTGGTGATAGGAACCAGACGTCCACCTCTAAAAGCTCCCTCACAGAAAGTTCCTACATGAAATGGTTATGAATTCACTGCCTGATGACTGAGACACTGTTTTATGATAGTTTAGAGAACTTAAACTCCATTCATGGTGGAGGGATACATGCAGGGCGCTGTGAAGCAAAATAGTCCCCAAAGAAAACATTATTTCAGATTTTCCACTATTTTCCATCATCAACATTCCATATAAACTCAGAAGACTTGTGTAGGTTCACTGGTGGTTCTGGATAGTAAATAAAATGTCTATATCTGTGTTGTAGTCATGGCGACCCCTGGTTCCTATCACCACCACTGTAAAGACATCTGAACCATTTCACACCAAACCACTCTGAATCACTCTGTTTACACCTCACACACTGAGCTATGGGGGATTTTGAAATAAAGTTGGAATTGCCCTTTAGTAACAAGCACAAATATTATATAATTCATTGGTGATGAACTTGAAATCTCATAGTAAAGTATAATAACTGCTGGAGTAAAATCTTCTGCAGATCATTCTAAGATGATGTAGCGTCACAACTGAAAGCTGCTAAAATCAGATCTGCACCTTCTGACTAATTATTATCAATCAATAAGAACAGTTAATCGTGATTACTCTGATAATGCTGTGCAGAGGCTGTACTTTAGCCTGTCTGTCATCAACAGGAGATTAAAATTATACAGGAGTGAATTCTGTACAGATCACTGATCACAAACACTCAGCATGGAAGAAGATAATTTTATGGAATAAAAACTTACATATAGTAACACGAGAAGATGATACTGGAACCTGTTTAATGACATAAAAGTCCACGTTACATTTTATTTTAGTTTGTGCCACTCTCTCTAATCCGTAATCTCTCTACTGTAATTCACATTTTTGTATTGTCTTTAATCTAATCTGAAAATATTCCTGTTGGCTGTATTTTAGTAAATAACGTACAAACAAAACTAATAAACGTAATATTATGACTTAGATGAGGAAAGATTAAGAACTGAGATTAATTATATTCACTACATTAATCTCACAGTAATCTCCCTGGATTCAGTTTAGCCTGTTAGCTTACCTTTAGCTAACATTATCTTAGCTCGTACTAGTCAAATGATGAAATTAGCTAACAGGCTTTCACAACAGAACATAAAAGCAGCATAGTTTAATAAAATAAAACGTTTTTATTCTAGAACTATAATTTAAACAGAACAGTAAAAGGACACAGCACTTCCTTAGCTAAGCTTAGTTAGCCCCGAGCTAACTGCTGCTCTGCTCGCTTCTGAGGCTGGACGCTGTGAAAACAGGAGACGTGTACAGATTTAAGGAGACGTAAAGCAGCTCATATTAAAGCTGCTGTGTTTGGTGTTGATCAGAGGAGACGGACGCAGACTGTGCTCTTCATCTGCTGATCTTTGAGCTCATGACTTTAGCATTTAGCATCGCGCTCCACCAGCTGAGCTGCAGAAACGCTGTACTTTGAGATGAAAGGTGAACAAAGCTGTAGAACGAACGATGTTCAGTGTTTTGTCTGTGTTTTGTGCAGATTGTGGTTTCGGGGTGCAGAAATATCTGGTGCGTTTGCTGACCTTCCTGCCCGGCACCACGATAGTGAAGGTGACCTGCACTCCGCAGCTTTTATACGAAGCTGGAAGAACGGCCGCCACCATGGACACCGCTCTGCTGCAGGTAGAAACCACAGATTAAAGCGATAGTTCAGCCAAAAACTAAATCAGCTGAGACACAGACTCTTTTCCACTGCAGGGCTGAACGGTTCTGAGCACGGAGGGTATCCGTTCCAGTGGCATTTCCATAACGATAAGGTTTGACACGGAACGCTTAAAACCCGGCTCAGCGTTTCTTTCCTCATGGTTAGCTAACCGGCCACAGAACCGTCCAGTGGGATGACGTGACAACATAGATATTCACGGACTGGTTCTGTGTTTATTTGTGTCCCAACATCCTGCTGCATTATTTTAAATCTGAAAACAATCAAATAAGTCCATTTCGCTCACACAGACGCCGGAGAAATGAAGGAGGTGCATGATTTAAAATCCACCACTCAATAAACGTCAGAGCTTCCGTCTGACACTGAATTAAGCTCTGATAACCAGGAGAGAGTAGCTGCTTAGCATCAGCTTAGCTAGCATGCCGCCAGCTCTGCTCACCACAGAACAGGTTCGATTCTGACAAACAGAAACTTTACGGACACAAGTTTAGATGACAATGACTGAACTCTGAGGAGCTGAAGTTGGGCAGCTGGTGTTGGAGGGACAGAAAGCTGAAATTAAAGCTGTTCTGGGGGTTTGGAACTGCAGCTTCCTACGCTAGCTAAGCTAGTGCTAGATGGCTCCTCTCTCTTAGCTAACTAACGTAGTTACTAACATCGGCCGTCCCCCAGTATCGGCCACTTGTGCGTATTGCGCATTTCCTCTCTCTCTCTCCGCTAACTGCTCAGGCGAAATTCAAAACACATAAGCTTGCACCTCACAGGGACATCTAAACTTTATTCTAGCAAAAAATCATGTCTGAAAACAATATTTAAGTATCACTAATAACGTTGTAATTCTGCGTGTACAAAACCACATGGAACACAGCTCATTTTCATTCGGCGATGGATATTCGTCTGTGCAGAAAGTTAGCTTATCGGTTAGCTTTCTCTGCTCTGAGGTAGAAAAAGTTTGCTGCCATGGTAGTGTTACGTATATGGCGTAAGGGTGCCCACAGAGGACAAACTTAGCCTCATTGTGAACCATTGTTAAGCACTGAATCTGGTAGGAATGATGCGTAAACGCGATTTCTCATTTGACTGGCACAATCAGGCGCGCAGCAAAGAGCTGTGCTCCATACTTCGTTAAACAAGCAAATCAAGCTGAATAATGAAACAGTACAATAATGTCACATTTTACTTACGAATATGTACATATATTTAATGTTTTTTACAATTTTATACGCTGAATTTTAGGCTGAAAGATGAGTTACGGAAAACCGGAAGTGAGGTGGCCGATATTGGGGGACCCCCATCATTCTAGCGATACGAGCGTCAAAGTAAACAAAAATGTTATTATTATTATTTCTCATCATGTCAAACAACTCTAGGACATTAATCTACCCACTTATCTCTCCCAGAAAAACATTGATTTGGGTGAGTAAAGTGCTTCGATTTATTTACAGTAAGCTTAGATTCCCGGTGTTTTGTTTTGAGGTGGCGGATAACACGGGCACCTACGCTGGAATCACAATACATATTTGGATATGCTCAAAATGCCCTCCCAGTGTACTGATGTAAAAAATATAAATAAAAATATTCCACTAACTTTGAGTAATATTATGATCTGTCAGTTGTTGATGAGACACTTATTACTGTAACACTGCACCACCGTATCAGCACTCCACTTCAGCAGGCTTACATCGTCCCTGCCTTGCATGAAAAGGTAATGTTAACGTCAGTATGTTATTTAGCACTGGAACTGTAATTGTGGAAATAAATGATATTTTGCTGAAAAGTGTCAGTCATTGTATGAAGCAGAAACAAGTAAAGTAAGTACATACATACATCATCTAAACCACTTATCCTTCTGGGTCGCGGTGGGGTGCTGGAGCCTATCCCAGCTGTCATTGGGCGGAAGGCAGGATACACCCTGGACAGGTCGCCAGTCTATCGCAGGGCAGACAGACAGACATACACATTCACACACTCACTAGTAAAGTAAGTAAGTAAACTTTATTTATATAGCACTTAACACATTACCTATGACCACAACTCAAAAAAGCTAGAGAATAAAAGTGAGTCTTTGGGCGAGATGTGAACTCAGAGAGTCTGATATCGAGGTGAAGACCGTTCCACAGTTCAGGAGCACAAACAGCAAACACACAGTCTGCCCTTCGCTTCAGTTCAGTTCTAGAAACAACAAGAAGCCCTTTATTAGAGGATCTCAGTGACTCAGTATGAGCAACTAACAATTCACAAGTGTGTTCAGGTGCTTCACTATGCTGAGCCTTATAAGTCAGAACCAGTACTTTAAAATCAATCCTGAATTTCACTGCCAGCCAGTGAAGAGAGGCCAGCACTGGGCTGATGTGCTCCATATGTCCAGTTTTCATTAAGAGCCTAGCAGCTGCATTTTGGACCAACTGAAGTCTCGCCAAAGCTCCTTGACTAAGGGCAGTATATGAGGCACTGCAACAGTCCAAACGAGATGAGACAAATGCAGTAATACTTCTCTCTAAGAATCCGTCTGATCTTTGCAATATCTTTGATATTTCTTAGATGGAAAAAACATGACTGAACATAATTCTTAATATGCACTGATATTGTAAACGAGAAGCAAAACATCACCAGGTTTCTAGGAAAAGCACTAACTCTGATCTGAGTGAACCAAGAGTCTCAACCAGAACCTCTTTTAGCTTAAGAAAACTGCAGTTCATTCAGTCCTTAATAGTGTCAATGCACTCAGTTAGATTAGCTACTCTACTAAAGCCATTCTGATTAACAGAGAGAGACAACTGCATATCATCTACATAAAAATTGAAAGAGATATTAAAGTCTGATTAAAACTCCAAGAGGAAGCTTATAAAGTGAAAATAAAATAGGGCCAAGAATGGAACCCTGGGGTATCCCACATGTAAGACCAGCCACAGAAGACATTATATTTTCAATAGACACTAAAGATTTTCTATTAGATGAATCAAAAAACTAGCGCAGACCCTGATATGCCAACCCATCCATTAAGCCTGTTGTTATGATTAACTGTATCAAAGACTGCGTTGAGATCAAGCAGCACCAAAAGACACCCCCCCCCCAGAATGCATTAAAGTATCATTTAATATTTCCACAAGAGCTGTTTCTGTACTATTCTTTTGGCGAAATTGAGATTGAAAGTTCTCAAAAATGCCGTTAGCTTCCAGTGCATGCAGAAGTTGATCTGAAACCACTTTTTCCAATTTTTTTGTGACAAGGGGGAGTTTAGGGTCAAGACCCACAGCAGTTGTCATGGTAGGTTTTAGTCTATTTTCAGTTAGAATGTTTTTCTGATGATAATATAGCTTAATGACTTTAGACCCCAAGTACATCTTGGCTGATTGACCACATTTAGGATAAGAAAGAAATTTTAAAGGGGAATTCCACCAATTGTACAAAATTCACCCATAACTCAGTGTGTGAGGTGTAAACAGAGAGATTCAGAGTGGTTTGGTGTGAAATGGTTCACATGTCTTTACAGTGGTGGTGATAGGAACCAGGGGTCGCCATGACTACAACACAAATATAGACATTTTATTTACTATCCAGAACCACCAGTGAACCTACACGAGTCTTCTGAGTTTATATGGAATGTTGATGATGGAAAATAGTGGAAAATCTGAAATAATAAGTTTTCTTTGGGGACTATTTTGCCTCACAGCGCCCTGCATGTATCCCTCCACCATGAATGGAGTTTAAGTTCTCTAAACTATCATAAAACAGTGTCTCAGTCATCAGGCAGTGAATTCATAACCATTTCATGTCATAATTTTTTGTGAATGAGCTTAAAGAGAGCAGATTTTGAAAAATGTGTTGAATTGTTTGCATGTTTTTAGTGTCTGTCTGTTTGTTATTTGTTGTGTGACCTTTATGCAGATGGAGCATCCACACCTGAGTGTTCTTCAGAGGGAGAACTTCATCTGGAGTTTAGCGAGTGTTCCTCTGTTGGAGCAGTTCCTGCCTGTGCTGGATGGAGATCCGATACAGGAGGTGGTGAAGAAAGTTATTGAACAGTTCAAAAACCATGTAGTGCCAAAGCTGAACTCCTTCCGCAAATGTAAGAATGGTATAATATTGTGATTGATTGCCTGAACGAGTCGAATTTAGAATTTATAGTGACAGAATGTAACGGCTGCACCATTTAAGGCAGAAATGGAAAATTCAAATAAAAAGCTGGTGATTATGAAGCCAGCTTCGCTAGCATGTTTGAGGAAAGGCATGCAGTTAGCACTGCGCTAATTGGTGGAGTGTGAGCTTCTATTGTTAGCTACATTAGCCTTATAGCTCAGATTCAGACACCAAACGCATCTTGGCTGATCGACTACATTTGCACTAATTATATTTTTCACTGAACTATCGCTTTAACGAGTCTCTCCCTCGTCCTGCAGGTATTATCCACGGAGACTTTAACGAACAAAATGTTCTGGTTGAAGCTGATGGTCCGTCCAGCTACAGGATCAGTGGCATTCTGGACTTTGGAAATATGAACAATGGCTATTTTGTGTTCGAGCTGGCCATCACCATCATGTACATGATGATCGAGAGGCCCAGGCCGTTAGCGGTGGGGGCAGCGGTGTTGGCAGGCTGGGAGAGCGTAATCCCCCTGAACCCGGAGGAGAGAGATGTGCTGTACCTGCTGGTTCTGAGCCGCTTCTGCCAGTCTCTGGTTCTGGCTCGCTACACTGTTCTCCAGCAGCCCGAAAACGAGGAGTACCTGATGATCACGGTGAGGCCTGGCGCCAGGCTGCTGCAGCTGCTCTGGGAGACGGGCAGAGACGAGGTGGAGAAGATCTGGTTCAACGGCGCTGCAGAGTTCTTACAGAACAGCCATAGAACAGACACAGAGGGATAATAACTAAAAGAACCGGAGGAGACTTTTAATCTGAGTTCAGGATTAATGTTAACCAAGTCTTCACACTATTCAGTGTTAAAATGCCTTAAAGGGACAGTATTGTGGACCATTCTATCGTGGACAGCCTGTAGCAGTTTAGCCCCACCTATTTAGTGTACAGCAGTTTAGCCCCGCCCATTCAGCCTGCAGCAGTTTAGCCCCACCCATTCTGCCTACAGCACTAAGCCCTGCTTCTTCTGTAAGTTCTCATATTTCAGTTTTGTGTTTGTGTGATTTCTGTGTGTCGTGTTTGTGTCTGAATGCTGTGTCCTCGGTAATAAATGATAATCAGTGATAAATAAAGCTTTCTAATCCACCATATTCCTGCATCCCATGATCCTCTGAGTGACAATCTGTCATCAGAAACCTGAAACTGTGTGATAGAAACCCTTTATTCAGAGAATTCTATTAACAGCCCATAAGGAAAAAAAATATATATGGACATTTGTTTTTATATATTTGAAATACTTTGGAACACAAAAATGTATTTCAGAAAATATTGTCATATTAAGTAAATATATTTTAAAATGTATGTGGAAATATTTACACAGAGACAAACATAAATGTATGTAAATGTTTATCAAATCCATCTGAAAATGTATGAAAATATCCAGAATCCTGTCTGATGCTCTTCACTGTCTGATACCTTTAGAGATGAATTTGTGTTCCAGTATCTTCATTTTAAATCTGATCAAATGATCCTTTAACAGGACAGAAGCGAGTGTTGTGGGTATTGATACTCTGTGAAAATGCAGTTATGATCTGATATCTTGTTTATGTGAAATACATTGTGTGTGAGAGTCTGACTGCAGACGTACATGGTTAATGTAGAGCACAGTGCAGATCACAGAAGTCAGTACGTTTAGTTACATCTGGAACCTTCATTACACACAACTGAACACAGATAGTAACACATACTAATAAATGTATTTAAAATATATTTAACAAACACATTTTTTGGCCATTTTCATACAATGTAAAAATATATCTAATAAATACATTTGGAGGAAATTTTGAAAAAATCAGTGGAGTTGTCCTTTATTGACTTGTATGTATAGCTGTTGTCTGAGTGCACACATGTGATGTCAGATGCCATAATTGATCAGAGCAGAGTCCGTCAGGAAAGTGCAGTAATGAACAACCTCTAATGGTCCAGAGACTGGACACTGACATTTAACTGACCTCTCCAGGCTCCGCCCACACCTGCTCTTTAGCAGTTCATATCACAATACCTACATTTAGAGTCGGTTATTCATTCAGCCTAATGAGAAACTGTAGAACAGACTCAGTTTATATCACAATACCTACATTTAGAGTCGGTTATTCATTCAGCCTAATGAGAAACTGTAGAACAGACTCAGTTTATATCACAATACCTACATTTAGAGTCAGTTATTCATTCAGCCTAATGAGAAACTGTAGAACAGACTCAGTTTATATCACAATACCTACATTTAGAGTCAGTTATTCATTAAACCTAATGAGAAACTGTAGAACAGACTCAGTTTATATCACAATACCTACATTTAGAGTCAGTTATTCATTAAACCTAATGAGAAACTGTAGAACAGACTCAGTTTATATCACAATACCTACATTTAGAGCCAGTTATTCATTCAGCCTAATGAGAAACTGTAGAACAGACTCAGTTTATATCACAATACCTACATTTAGAGTCAGTTATTCATTAAACCTAATGAGAAACTGTAGAACAGACTCAGTTTATATCACAATACCTACATTTAGAGTCAGTTATTCATTAAACCTAATGAGAAACTGTAGAACAGACTCAGTGTATATTACAATACCTACATTTAGAGTCGGTTATTCATTCAGCCTAATGAGAAACTGCAGAACAGACTCAGTTTATATCACAATACCTACATTCCCTGATAGATAATAAATAAATAGATAGATAGATAGATAGATAGATAAATAAATAGATAGATAGATAGATAGATAGCCTGCTGGTTCCTGGTGGTGTCTATTCTGTGTTTTCCTGAAGGTCTGATATCTCAGTGTAAAGCACAGATGTTATGACTCCAGATGCAGCTAAAGGTGCCCTACTGGAAACAATTAAGTAACAATTACTCAAGTACTTAAAAAGTTAGTAACTATTAAGACAATTTCCATTTGAAAGCAAACCCATCAGGTTTTACTCCTTCTAATGGTAGAGTGAGTTATTCACTCAGCACTGGATTTTTTGCCTCGTTTGTTGACACAAAAACTTACAGCACATTAATAACACATAAAAACCAGCACAGATCAGCACAGCTGCACCAGCAAAACCAGCATATGTTATGTTGTTGAAGCTGGTAACAGACCAGCACTAGCCCAGCATAAACCAGCTCAGACCAGTGTGGAATGCTTGCTGGTCTGTGCTGTTTTCTCAGCAGGGTGTTCGCCCTATACTGTCCAACAGCTCTGCCTTTCACTGCCACTCTCCTGGGTCCAGACTGCGGAGACACTGAGCTGAATTCGGCTGCTTGTTCGCCGGATTCTTATTCAAACATGCTGTTCCAGCCTGAACAGCGCAGCTGTTAAATTCAAATAAGGAGCCGCGTCTAAACCTTATAACTATTAGTTTACAAACAGCTCCACCTGCTGGCCGGAGCACGCAGTTACAGCTGAGCTGGAGGCCGAGCAGGCTGCAGTCTCGCTCTCAGTGATAAAATCTGCAGTGCTGGTCTGAACCGTATAAACCGAACCCTGAGCGGTTCTGTGGATCTCAGCGGCTCTGGTAAGACTGAAATCCTGCACTGTATAAATAAACCTGCGTGTTTGGAGCTGCTGCCTTTAAGGCTCGAGCACAAAGAGCCAACAAACAAACAAACACAGGTGTGTGGTCAGCGTGTCGCGCCTGCTGGATTATTTAAATAATCTAGAATGTTCTGACCTCGTTCACTCCGATTCTTTCGTCAGTTCCTTTTCTGGACCTTGTAAAGACAAATGAAGGTGTTAGAGTTCGGTTCATTGTAAGCCCAGTGTTTCACTGCTACTGCTAGTTTCACTGCTGCTATATTGCTGGTTATACTACTAGTTTTAACTTAATACTGGCTCTGCTTTTACTGCTACTGCTAGTTTTACTGCTACTTGTACTACTAGTTCTGCTTTTACCGAAGACCTTGTAGACAGTAGAATTACCACTCTGTCTCCCAGGTTCCTCAGAGGGGCTCCCAAACGAGTCCAAAGTGGACGGGCTACGATGGAGCGTTTGAGCAAATACTTTGATTTTTATTGTGTTTCTTAGTCAAAAATGTAATTTTTAAAAAATATTTAACCGTGAAGGAGTCATAGCACATCTGTAATAATAATAATAATAATAATAATAATAATAATAATAATATATGTTAATATCAGACATGATTGTTCTCATTCTGGAAAAAAAAGGTTTGAAGGAAACAGAATTATTTATTAGTCATAATCATAGAAAAACCCGTCATTTTTTTTTTCATACGTTCATGATGTCAGTGAGCTGCTCCGCTCACCAACCAGTCAGCACTCAGTAGCAGTAATGTCAGCGTCCTGCTGCCCAAAACCCGTTTGCTGTAGAAAACTCAAACAGGTGAGTTTACTTTGCTTTTTTAGTGAAATCCATCCTTCTACTCTCTAAAATGAAAAGAAAGCTCTGAGTGATTAGAAACTGTTTAACTTCTCGTTTTAGCCGTTTAGCTCCATTTACTCCCATTCACTGAGGACTTGCTCGGCGGCGCCCCCGGGCTTTTTGCAGTCATGATTTTGATATAATGGTGGAAACAGGAAGAGGCCAGACTCTTTAAACCGCTCTAATAATGGAGCTGTTTTACTGTAATTACTGCTCGTTGACTAAATACTTGTAAAACTGTTTTTCCTGCAGATTTGGTGAGGAAACCTGTGTTAATGTCAGCGACTGGAACACAGACGGACTCTGGATCTGCAGGCCTCTCCAGCTGAATGGAGATGAAGGTAAGCGAGTGTCGCTCAGCTGCTGAGGTGTTATTGACGGGTAGAGTTTGCGAATGGTAACGTCTCTGATATTGCGTCCTGCGGTGAGCATGATCAGCTCTCTCCTCGTAATCAAACACTGCCGGAGGTGAAGATCTCTGAAGGTAATAAGAGATAAAGCGGCGTCTTTCTTTATCGTGGTTAATCCTCCCGACAGTTCAGAGCAGTTCACCACCCGCTGATCCTCCCCCGTCTGAGACTCCTGAACACGAACAGACGGTAATACTGCCTTCCTCACAGCGCGGAGGACAGAAATGAAAACAGGAGCGAGATTGTGTTTTGGAAAGAGGCTTCAGGTACATTTATTTGTTTCAGGAAACCAGTTTATGGCAGTTTGTTTTGAGGTTAGATGTGGTTTCGTCTGTTCTGTAGCTCCTCGTAAACCGAGCCACTGTTTGCTCTTTTGTTTTCACTGTAGCCTCACAGAGGCTTTAACTGCCCTTCTTCAGTTTTTAAGGGTGGTATTTGAATTTGTAGGCAATATATTTGAATAAATACAATTAAACAGCAATCCCCCATAAAAAGTACAGTAATCTCAAGAAAGAAATGTACTCTGGGAAAGACGTCAATCTAAAGCCTTTAATATAATCAGACAGGTTCTAATAATCTGGTGTGCGGTAACCCTTACATGACTGCATTAGTCCTAAGCCGGTGTGCGGTAACCTAAACAGGTTAGAATCTCTGACCAAAAACCAAGCATTGTAATTTTCATGCAACTTCAGTTGCTTGAAACCTCTCAAACTAAATTGCACTGCAGTCATATAATCTAAAACATTCTGTAACTCACTTGAAACTCAGCTGCAACAGTTGCAACCGTCTCAACTTTATCTCAGCTAGTTTCATGAAACAGTCAATCAAAACACGAATAATGCAACACATCAAACAAGCTTTTAAACGATTGATTTCACTGGATCAGCATACAGGCAGATAAAGCAGGAGCTGGCTTTTTGGTGGTTGTAAAGACTTCAAGGTTCATAGTTTTTCATTTGGTCTTTTTCCTGAGCCGTGACAGACATGAGCTAATGTTTCTATAACCAGCTGCACCAGCCAGCCAGCTAACGCTACAATGCTACAGATGTGCAAGTTACACTTCACAGATGACTTTATAGTGAGAATGAAATGGTGTATCAAAAAAATAATAACAACAAACAATAGATCCGCCGTTCAGTGTATCATATTTACATCTTTAGGCTTATTATTCAGTAACTGTGCCAAAACCGATGCAGACCAGCTGAGTTTTTCTGGATTCTGGCTCATGGTGAGCAGCAGGCAGTGGCTGCTGAGCAGCTTAATTTTAAAAAAGATTATTCCACAAACAGTGTTTTTAGTAACGCATTAAAAACATGAATACAGACAAAAACATTAATACAGAATTCAGCTGATGTTTATTTTATTCAGTATTTTACAACATGGCTCAGCTGAGCAGTTTAGAACCAGAACTGATCTGTTATAAAAATATATTTCAGACTTGAGGAGGGAAAGTGCAGAACTGCGCCCTCTGCTGGTTGCATTGGAAACATTTTTTAATTC